AACGTGCATCTTAAGATTGACAGCAACTTAAGATTCAGTCAATGAAATATAGTCTTTTTAAAATACAAACTATGTCACATCATTCCTCCACTGAAAATCCTCCAATGGCTTCTATTTGAACTCGGAACAGAATCTTTAACATGGCCTCCGACGGCCACCATTTGACCCCTACCCATTTCTCTTACCTCATCTACCCCATCCCCTCACTCAATGTTTTCTATCAATGTAAACTTTCTATCCCTGCCTCAAAACAGATCAACCTCACAGCAGCCTCTGGGCCTCTGCATTTGCTCTTCCTGATCGTCAGAGGGCTGACTCTCATCATTCGGGTCTCAATTCAAATGCCACCTCTTCCGGGATGCCTTCCGCCTGGCCTCCATCACTCTATTCCATTCTCATGTTTTATTTTTATTATAACATCACTATTTGAAAATTCCATATTTATTTATCATCTCTTCTCCACCCCACCACTACAATTTAAGTTTCATAAGGTCGGGTATCCTGCCTGTCTCATTCAAAACTGTATCTCCAGCACTTGTCAAAAGTATTTGTGGAATAAATGCAACCAACAAACATTAGTTGGGAAGATGGAGATGAAAGTGAAATCAGGGCTCCCTAGTCACTGTTTACATAACAGCTTATGTCTGTTCCAAAATTCTAGACCCACGTCCTAGGTAAATATTCACAATCACAAAAAGATGAGTATGTAGAGGATGAGTATAAATTCATCCCTCCCACTGTTAAATACAAGGTCACCTTTCTTACTGATGACCAGTTATGTGTGATGTCTTTTATAATGAAAACAGCACAAATCCAAAAACCCACTGCTAAACAAGTTAAGAGCACAAATTAGCCTGAAGCAACGAACTCTCCCTTCCATACCACAGGCTCTCTGAGTTGAGAGAATAACCATCACATAGTGGTGAAGAGTAATTAACAAACCACTGCACAACATTTTCTAAGGCATTTAGACTCAGCAATGCTGACTTCATTAACTTTGAGAGGTTAACCAAGGATGAAGTCCTTTGAAAATCATGAATAAACAATATTGTTGCAATGCTGCATTTTCAAAAGTACTCAAAATAATTCATTTGTTTTTTTTCACATGTAAAGACACGTTTTCTTACCAATGACACTGTCTTTTGTAGAGAAATTACCGAAGTTTTGCTTATTAGAAAATAAGTAGCTATGCTTCTGTTTTCAAACCTTCTGATAAATGTTGAAAATCTGCCAGATGCCCCCAAAAAACACTATCCCAAAAGAAAAAGAGAAAAACACCTCAAATGTACTATGTGTTTACGGACCATCTGTCACAGCAAAGAGTTTGGTTTTTTTAACAGTATCTAACAAAATAGTCATTCAAACATCTACTTGCAGAAAAGCTAAAGAATTATATGATTAATAAAAATGCTGGCCTTCCCTCCCCATTTAGAAAAAGGGAAGAGCTAGTTCTAAAGTAACATATAGCTTTTCAGCAGAGGGGTTAAAAACTGGTTTTCTGAAACTGAAAAAAAAATTTTTTTTAATTCATCAGAAAATGCCATCCTAGAAACACTAGGCCCTTTAAAAATATAAAAATACCCGATGCACTTGCTCAGTGAAGACACTTTAAAAATAATAATGTCCTATGGTCATTTTAAAACTGCCCATTTTTATAAAGTGAAGATACTTTCAGAAGAATGAATTTACTTTCAGAAGCTGAAGCTTACATTCCTTCCAGTTAGCCAGCCTCAACTGTAAAAACCAACCCAAAGGAGAAACTAACTTGGGCTCTTGGATAAAGCCCTTTCCAGGCTGCCCCTAATTTAAAATATAACATTAATAAAATATATATACATATATATGAAAAAATCTTTTTAAAAAAAAGTTACTTTTGAAGAATTCTGGTGGGGTAATGGCATCAACATATAAAAACGCTTAGGCTTAACACCAAGAAATAACAACAGGCCTGTCACTTAATACAACCCTTAACAGTTATGTCAATATCCCATTTTTAATTTGGAGAAAAACAGGCTTACTTTTAATATAGTGCCTTAACCTGAAAAATGGAAGGTGAGTTCATGATACGGCCTCATTTTACTCTATTCCCTAAAAATAAAGTCAAGGTATGTAAAAGTCTCATAAAAACGGTCCACTTAATTATCAGAAAGGTTTTCTTTTGACGAAATCACCTAAAAAGCCCCAGCGACCACCTTTTTCTGTTTTCTTAGCACACTCGGATTCCAAACTCGCTAGTTCAGTGCGTGAAGAGGCCCACCCCTTATCTCCGTCCCTCTACCCCCAGGTTACTGTCCCCAGAAAATACTCTCTGTGGAAAACAAAGCAGTCTCATTTGCAGCCCCATAAATTAACAGCGGAATCTGGTCCGTTATTTCTCAACGTCACTGCCCCCAAACTGCAAGCTCTCCAGCGTCATCCCACGGCCAACGTTTATCTTAGTTTTAGCAAAAAAGCAACAGCTCGCCCAAGGAAATAGAAGGTTCTGAACCACGCCGACACCCCTGAGCGTATAAAACACTCTGCGGCGGGTAAGTCAAAGTGCTCCCCGCGGCCCGCTCACAGGTGGCCTCCGATGGAGGGCCGGTTTCTAACTTCTAGAACTTTCCTTTTTCCCTGGAATACTGCGACAGCTGGAGATGGTGAACTTAAATCCCACAGAGCCTGGAAAGGTCTAGCCCCAGCCGAACCCCTACGCCCCGGCCTGTCCCTGGTATCCTCTGCTGCGGAAACGTAAGCGATGGCTCACCCTGCAAGGGAAGGGAGCCCCCGGGACGCCGGGCCATGGCCTCCACGAGCCGGGGAGCCGGCGAGCTGCAGCCCCAGCGCCCGCGCCGTGCCCGGCCTGCGCGCGTCACCGCCCCTGGGACGCCCGACCCGCCCAGCTACCGCCCGGCCTCACGTGACCGCCCGGGACGGGCGCGCGCTCCTGCGCTCTGCTCCCGGGCCCGCGGCGCGCCCCCGCCGCAGCCGCCTACCTGAAGCCCCGAGTGGGCAGCAGGGCCTGGCTCAGGTGCGCGCGTAGCTGGCCCAGCGTCGGCTCCGCGTCTGGCATCTCCAGCGGCCAGGTCCGCTTCTGTAGCCGGACCCGCAGCTTCATGGTGGCGGCGGGAGGGCCCCGGGGGCCCGGACCCGGAGGCGGCGACGGTGACGACGGCGCGGCGGCGGGCCCGGAGCGGCGACTACCAGAGGACTAGCGGAGAGAAGGAGCCGCCGCAGCCCCTGCCGGCGGGTCTCTGGAACATGAGCGCCCCGCCCCTCTCATGAGGGCGCCCCCTAGAGCCCACCCTCGGGCGGGCGGCTGCCCAGCCAGGCGCCTCGGCGTCTTGTAATCGATGGCTCGGCGCGCAACGGCGCAGCCTGAGAGTGAGAGGCGCTCAGTGCGCAGGTGCCGAGACTGCCGCGGGGGGCGGGGGGCACGGCTCTGTCGGCTGTGGCTGCTCCTGTGCGGCCGGCGGTGTGCCGACTCCTTCCAGGCGTGCTTGGAGAACGTTAACGCCGAGAGAGAGGCTGCAGAATATGTGACTTGCCACTCCGCAAGCCCCAGGCGTCTCTGGTTCTTAACTCATTTCCTCCGCGGCGCTCCGCTCCAGCCACAGGCATCTGCTCTGAGAAGCCTTAGGTTGAGCCCAGGCTCTGCTAGTTTCCTCCTGTTACAGCAAAATATGAAACAGCTTGTAGTCCTTGATCTATATCGGACAGTATAGTAGTAGTCTGTTACATAGCAATCACCCCAAAGTTTAACGGCTTAAAACAACGAACGTTAGTTGTCCCCCAGGTTCTGTATGTCAAGAATTTGGGCCTGGCGTCTCTGGGTGGTTCTGTCTCGGTCTCTCGTGAGCCAAGGCTGCAAGTTATCTGAAGTCTTGACTCAGGCTGGAGAACCTGCTTGCTGGATAGCTCACTCACATGACTGTTGGCGGGAGGCCTGTTTTTCAGGGCAAGGACCTCTCTATAGGGCCAGTTGAGTGTCCCCATGACTTAGCATCTGGCTTCTTTCATAACACGTGGTCCCAAAGAGACCAAAGCAGAAGCCACAGTGTCTGTTGTGATCAAGCCTCAGAGGTCACATACCATCATTTCTGTCATTCTAGACAACCCTTCAGTGTGGGAGGATCAACCCAAAGGCATGAATACCAGTAGGGATCATTGGGATCCATTTGGAAGGCCGGCTACTATAGAGAGTCTGACGATGATGATGATGATAACTGAGATGAGAGAGAGGGAATCGTCAAATTTCACCCTTGTATGAGAGCCGTTGTCCAAATCATTATGAAAGAGTTGAATGAAGTTTCTCCCAGTAGGTGGCAGTACTTGTCCACATCCTGATCTTCATTGGTTAAATAAACATGTATTGAACACCTACTTTGTGCTAGATATTATTACAGGTGCTGGGGACTCAAAAGATTGAATTCACAGTTGAGTGAATCAACTCTTGTAGTAGAGTGTAATGAGTTTTTTGTTTATGACAGAGATAATAACAATCCTGGGGACTGGGGTACACAGAGAAGGGTGGTTGTGCCAGTAGGATTCTTTTTTTTTTAATTTCTTTTTATTATGTTATGTTAGTCACCATACAGTACATCATTAGTTTTTGAGGTAGTGTTCCATGATTCATTGTTTGCATATAACACCCAGGGCTCCACGCAATACGTGCCCTCCTTAATACCCATCTTTAGTGGCAAACAATATGAGATTGAGGAAGGGTGGCAGGACCAGGATGGCTCAGTGTGGCCAGAGGGAAGGACAGAGTGGGTACATCTCAGATAAAGAAGATCCTTGAGCTAAGCCAAGGATTTAAGACACATTCTAGAATGTGTGAGAAGCCAATGGAGAGTTTTAAGCAAGGGATTCTTTATCAGGTTTCTTAGTTCTGAGCAATAGAGACTGACTCTGGCCGACTAAGAAGAAAAGGAACATGTTAAAAAGGATACTGGATAGCTCAGGGAATTCTGGGAAGGACTAAAGAGGTTCCAAGGCTAATTCCAGGAATGAAACTCAGAACCACGCTGAAGAACTGGCCTGATGGGGAAACTAGCCTGACTGACTGGGATTGCCCCACCCTGCCCTGGAGGAAACTGCTGTCTCCCTGACAGAAACCACTGTGGAATGGCAGCCACCTTCAAATGCCACACGTTTTTGTGACCTCCTACACCAACAAAATGCCAAGCTTCCAAAAGAGCCCGTTTCCTCACCTTGCTCACTTCTAAATCAAAGGCTCATAGGGATACATCTGATTAAGGGGGATGGGAGTCCCATGCCTGAGTCCTGGCTGCAAAGGAGACTGAGATTGGGGGGGTCTGAACTCCTTCCTTGGGAAGGCAAATATCCCCAAATGTTAAAAAAAAAAAAAAAAAAGGCCATTCAAAAGATGGCAGGAAGCCATGAGTCTGACAGGCATACAGCACAAGGGACACAGGTCAGATCTGAAATGTGAATCTATCACCTGTCGCGTGTAGGGGCTATATTAGATCAGGGTTCCTCAACCTTGGCACTGTTGACACTTGGGCTTCATGAGTGTTAGTTGTGGAGGACTATCCTATGCCTTGTAGGATGTTTAGCAGCATCCCTAGTCTATCCACAAAATGCTGCTAGAAACCTCTCCCCCAATTGTAAAAACCAAGGATGTGCTCAAACTTGGACACATATTCCCTAGAGGGTGAAACTGCCTTGAAAACCACTGGATTGGGGACCAGCTTAGTTTGGAGGCTCTTTTGGTAACAGAAGAAAGGAATTAGTGGGATGACGGTAAGAATGGAGATGATGGGTGGACAGGGATGATGTTACAGAGGTAGAAATAATAGAAATTGGAAAATGGCTATATTTGGAGGTCTTATAAGTTCGAATATAGCTTCAGCTGCCCTAAGAGATATGAAATAATAGTGACCTATGCAAAATATGTTTATTTCTCTCTGAGATACCATTCTTGGAGAAAGCAGTGCAAGGCTAATATGATGGCCATCTTTAGAGACCATCTACCCCAGTCTACCTCTCAGTACGTTGTAAAGCTGGATAAGTTTCCATCTATAAAAATGAAAATAGTAAATAAGAATGTATCAGACAGCTGTGTTATAAAGATTAAGTAAGATTATACCTTTTCTGTTTTTTTGTTGTAAACCATTAAATTTGTGATGATTTGTTAAAACAATAGAAAACCAATCTAACTGGGATCCTTGTCTCAATCCTTTGCCCATTAGGTATAACCATCAGCATGGCAGAAGTAATCCAACCACAGGGGTTTAGAAGGGTCCTGGAAGAGAACCAGAACATCCTCAAGGCACCACCAAGATTTAAGGTACTCCGGAGGATAATTCTCCAAAACTTCAAAGATCCGTGACAATGTTACATAGCCTCTCTTTCAACTATTTCCCTCCTTCATAATTTTTTTTTAATTTCTTGCAGGATGTCACTTTAATGTCTGCAAGCAACAGTTACTGCAACTTTCAAAGAGTTCAGAAATTTGCAGTTCTTTTTTTTTAATGGACGATTTTATAGAATACTAAAAGGGACAATATCACTTTTCTATGGGAATACATATACTCCCTGTAGACTTTTTTTAAATAAACATTTTATTTTAGAATGGTTTTAGATTTATAGAATGATTTAGGGGCACCTGGGTGGCTCAGTCGTTAAGCAGCTGCCTTCGGCTCAGGTCATGATCCCAGGGTCCTGGGATTAAGCCCTGCATCGGGCTCTCTGCTCAGCAGGGAGCATGCTTCTCCCTCTACCTGCCGCTCTGCCTACTTGGGCTCTCTCTGTCTGTGTCAAATAAATAAATAAATAAAATATTTTTTAAAAAAAGGTTTATAGAATGATTTAAAGACTTATATACCGCACACCCAATTATCCCTATCAGTAACATCACAGATGAGTGTAGAACATTTATCACAACTAATGAATTAATGTTGATATATTTGTATCAACCGAAGTCCATGCTTAATTCAGATTCCCTCAGTTTTTTCTTAATGTCCTTTTTCTGTTCCAAGATCCCATCCAGGACACCACATTACATTTAGTCATCATGTCTCCTTAGGTTCTTCTGGGCTATGACAGTTTCTTAAACTTTCCTTTTTTTAATGACCCTGACAGTTTTAATGATTACTGGCCAATTATTTTGTAGAACATCCCTCAACTGGGATTTGTCTGATGTTTTCTCATGATTAGACTGAGGTAACATGCTCCTAGGAAGAAGACCACTGAAGTCAAGGTGCCATTCTCATTACATCAACAGTGTATACTGTCAATATGACATCTCACTGTTGCTGTTAATCCTGACCGCTTGGTTTCTCCACTGTAAAGGTACTCCTTTTTTCTCCTTTTCATATTGTAGCCTTTGGAAGAAAGTCACTATGTGCAGCCCACACTTAGAGTGGGAGTTATGCTATACCTTATTAGGGGTGGAGACTCTACATAAATCATTTGAATTTCTTCTGTACAGGAGATTTGTCTATTCTCTATTTATTCTATCCTTTATATCAGTGTGGACTTATATTTATTATATACTTTGGCTTATAATCCAATACTGCTTCATTTAATTTTTTGCTCAAATTGTTCCAACTTTGGCCACTGGGAAATCTTTCATTTGGCTACTGTATCCACTTGACATCATTGTGGATTTTTGTTCATCTGTCCTTTTTTTCTGTTTTTGAACACTTTCTTATTTTCTGGCACTGGAAGATGCTCTAGTATCATTTTGTATATATCCTGCCCCAACCCTAGAATCAACCATTCTTCCGAGGTGCACTAGTTCTTTTTACTGGAGAGTGGTATTAGAAACCAAGATCTGGGTGCTAGGTGTGCTCATTGCATTTGAGGTGTTATTGCTTCTAAGCCTTCTCAGCTAACACAACAGGGAGATACGTGTATGTACACACTATTTCTTTTTTCTTTAAGATTTTTATTTATTTATTTGAGAGAGAGAGATTGAGAGACAGAGAGCATGAGAGGGAAGAGGGTCAGAGGGAGAAGCAGACCCCCTGCTGAGCAGGGAGCCCTATGCGGGGCTCGATCCCGGGACTCCAGGATCATGACCTGAGCCAAAGGCAGTCACTTAACCAACTGAGCCACCCAGGCACCCCTGTACACACTATTTCCATACCTAACCATCTGTATCTATATTAAGCTGAGCATGAGTTCATTCTGATGTTTCCAACTCTAATCCTTTACCACACAATCTTTTTGGTCTCCTCCCTTGCTTATCTGTAACTTCCCAATCCAACTGTGACAAACCTAGCTCGCCACCATCCATTTGCTTAATCATTCATTTCCAGAATCTATGTATAGTGGTTTCAGATGCTTATCAAAACAACATTATCAACCAGAGTACAGTGCTTCAACAACAGCGTCTGCTGCCCTTTGTCTTACAGCTTCCATTCATTCCCAAAAGACACAGGTCAGCACCTTGTTCCCCAATCCCCTTCAGCAAGGTTGTTTCATACATTTGTAACACATTTAGATTCTTTTCTCACATTCTGCATTCTCTCTTGGACCCCTCAATCTCCTATGTGATTTTTTTAAAATTTACATACATTAAGATTTACTCTTTGATATGTAAAGTTCTATCAGTTTTGACAGATGCATAATGTCTTATTTCACTAACCTAAAAAATCCCCTGCACTTCAACCTTCTCCACCACAGCCCCCCAGCCTCTGGCAATTACTGATCTCTTTACCATCTCTTTAGTTTTGCCTTTTCCAGAATGTCGTATGATTGGAATCATTGTATAGCATTTTCTGGCTTCATGACTAACTTTTTTACTTAGCAATATGCGGTTGAGATTAATCCATGTCTTTTTGTGGCTTCCTAGCTCATTTCTTTTTAACGTTGAATAACATGCCATTGTATGGATGTACTACAGTTTATCCATTCACCTATTGAGGGACATCTTGGATGCTTCCAGTTTGGGACAATTATGAATAAAACTACCATAAACATTGTGTTTGTGCAGGTTTTTATGTGGACCTAAGTTTTCAAATCGGTTGGATAAACACCCAGAAACACCATTGCTGGGTCGTATGGCAAGACTAGGTTTAATTTTGTAGGAAACTGCCAAACTGTTTTCCAATATGGCTATACCATTTTGCATTCCCTTTAGCAATGAATATGAGAGTTCCTGTTTCTCTACATCCTCACCATTGATTTGTATTGTCAGGTTGTTTTTAATTTTAGTCGTTCTAATAGATGTGTCTCATTGCTTTAATTTGCAATTCTTAATAACAATGTTGAGCATCTTTCTGTATGTTTATTTGCCATCTGTAGATCTTCTTCAGTGAGGTCTCTTCAAATTCTTGCCCACTTTTTAAATGTTTTTTTTTCTTATTGTTGAGTTTCCTGTAGTTTCTGAATAGAAATCAGATTTCTGTGCCTGATTAAAAACCCTTCATAGTCCAGCTGAAACCACTTTCTTCAATCTGCCCAATGACCCCTATAGACTACTCATAATGCGCTACTCCAGAATGCCTCTCCCCCTACTTTACATCCTCTCCCACCAAGTAAGTTCCTGTGCTTTTGCATATGCTGACCCTTCTGCCTGGAATACTTTTCTTTTCCTTCTTCCAAGGAAAGTATGTTGCTCCTTCCTTTTGTTCTAAGAGCACTTGGAACATGCTTTTCAATGTTATCCATCACATCATAGTGCAATTATTTACATATCAGGCTTTCTCCAGTCTTAGGTTATGAGTTTTTCAAGGGGAAAAGGCAGGTCTTAATCCATCTTCACAACGTTCAGTCCCCACCTCCCTTGTTAGGACTGGTTAAGCAAAATTTTAAATGGTATAAAGATATCCATAAAGATATCTCTGAGTTCTTGATATATCTGTTTGGAAAGTAAGATTTTCATTCTATCTCCACCAAAGAAAGCCAGGTTGGCCTTAGTTTGAGTGTTTACTTAAATCCAATCCATTTTCCTGAATCTTGAGCTTTAATTTACACAGTGTTTCTAATTTAGCCCTGGAGAAGGGCTTGAGAATTTGCATTTCTAATGATTTCCAGGTGATGCTACTGTGAAACCATACTTTGGGAACCACTGGTCTATACCATGTGGTCTTGCTGTGGTTGTTTTGGGTTTTCTTAACACTTACAAAGCACGTTGAGGTATCTGCTATGCTTGGTGAGAAACTGAAATGGACCTTAAAAAGTGTTGTGAAATGAAATTAGAACCATGCAAGTTAGGAAAAGAATCTTCAGAAGTTGTTGAAATGATTAAAACCCCACCCAAGGACCAAATGAAGATGTCTGGAATCTATTGAAAGAAAGAAAAATATTCTTGGAAAGCAAACTAGAAGGAGTCATACAGAAGACAGGGATAGGGGGTGGAAGGAGCATCAAGGATTTTCACAGCTCAATATGTAAACCTCAGTGTTGTTTGAAACTGTCACCAAGAGAATGTATTCAAATATGTATTGGATAATTAAGAAAAATATTATTGGGGGGTGCCTGGGTGGCTCAGTCATTAAGCATCTGCCTTCAGTTCAGGTCATGGTCCTGGGGTCCTGGGATCGAGCCCCGCATGGGGCTCCCTGCTCAGCGGGAAGCCTGCTTCTCCCTCTCCCACTCCCCTGTTTGTGTTCCCTCTCTCGCTGTGTCTCTCTCTGTCAAATAAATAAATAAAATCTTAAAAAAAAAGAAAAATATTATTAGGAATATTAGACTCTGACCCTCCAGAGGCATGCCATTTTTCTGCAGCAAGGGCTAGATAGAATACTTGAATATACTTTATTTTCTTGGTTCTCAATCAAGGCCTGTCCAAGGACGTTAGCCATAGTCTGGAGACATTTTTGTCACAACTGGGGTAGGCGAAAGTGGTGCTACTAACATCAGGGTAGAGGCAAGGTGTGCTGCTAAATGTCCTACAATGCATAGGATAGTCCCCACATCAAAGAATTACATGGTCCAAAATGTCAATAGCATTGAGGTGGAGAAATTCTTATCTGTCTGAACTGGGCTTACACTGGTGGTTCTCAGACATTTCAGAGTTGTGTCACATTATCTGTTTGCTTGGTTCCACAATATCTCTCATGTCTCATAAAAGACATGTATGTTCATTTCAAATTTAAAATGAATTTAGTTTTTTATTATGTTCAGTTAGCCACTGTGTAGTACATAATTAGTCTTCAATGCAGTGCTCAATGATTCATTAGTTAAGCATAACACCCAGTGCTCATCACAGCACGTGCCCTCCTCAATACCCATCACCCTGTTACCCCCTCCCCCCACCCTCCTCCCTCTGAAACCCCTGGACTGTTTCTCGGGGTCCATAGTCTCTCATGGTTCATCTCCCTCTCTGATTCCTCCCCCTTTGGATTTCCCTCCCTTCCCCTACATTCCTCCGTACTATTGCTTATGTTATTCAGCCATCAGAAATTATGAATACCCACTGTTTGCATCTACATGGATAGAACTGGAGGGGATTATGTTAAGTGAAGTAAGTCAAACAGAGAAAGACAATTATATGGTTTCACTCAAATTTAACATGAACTTAAATTCAGTTTGAACTACAAGTAATAAAATGTAACTCCCTTTT